GGCAAACAAATGATGTCCACCTCAACATGGGGGACCTGACACTGTGATTCCAATTGCTGGGTAGCAAGGATATGAAGTTCTTTTAGTTTCAATGTAAAAGCAAGTAAAGGAAGAATTTCAATGGAATTTTTTTTTTGCTCTAAAAGTATCTTGAGCTGTGACAAAACAAAAAAATTCAAAATACCTGTATTTTAATACCAAAACGAGATCTTGTGGAGTGTGAGTGGGTGAGTGAATGAGTGAATGCGCATGTAATTGAATGCATGTGTGCATATAATTATGTAAAGTGATTGGGTGTGTGTATGTATGTGTGAGTTTGAGTTCGAGTGTGAATGTGTGTACGCACACGCACACAGATGTACAATATGTGCACACAGACATGTTGATCCTAAAAATTAGTGCTTGTGTGTGTGTGTGGACATGTATATTTATCTATCTATATACATATATATTTACATACACATATATATATACCATATATATATAAACATGTACATAAAATATCCATTCACTTACACAAACACCCATAAATGTTTTGTTTGTATGCGATTTACTCGAGTTATCATCACAGCCTTTTTAACTAAAAACATTGCTACCATAAGCAAGTTTAATCAATGTCTCTTTCAGTTTTGCAGACCCAGGTGAACGAGCAGTGAGCAAAATGCAGCTGAAACTTGATTAACTGAGGCCCGTTTCATTTTCATGGATAAAATGCTAAATTAGCAGCCATAATTCACTATTGTGAAACAACCCATTTACACTGCATTTCATCTATCATATATGTACTATGACTCAGCCTTAAATAACAACAAGAAACCAAATTTATGTGGTATGTGATGGACAGAACACCAATAACAAAACATTCAGTGCCACTGAACAAAGACATCAGCACCATGAACTAGTTTTATCAACAATTCTGATGAGCACAGCAATGTTTAGCAGCACTGCAGCACATCTGGCAGAAGTGCACTGTACGAAGCCAAGCCAAGTCTTTCTAACGTATAACAGTAATGGAGATCTCAGATTTGTTTTCATGCCATTAAAAGTGAATCTTTGTCTAGATGATGAGGCAGTATGGCAGGGTTGGCTGGCTAGCTCACTGCTTGGGGTCATCCTTCCCTCTTGGCTTGTTACTGGAGCTTGGGTCCATGCCTTGAGCAGTGGAGGAGCGAGGGACCAACAAGATACTCCCGTCAGCAGATTGCTGCAGTGAATATTCATGTGGAGAGTATGGATTGCCATCAGGATCACGCAGACTCTGAGATTTTAATGAAAAAATTAAAGAATTAGAAAGGTTACCACACAAACAAAAAATCCATAAAAAATTAAAAAATGTGACACATCAAATCTCCTTAATTTTACCATTAGTGTCTATATCAATAGCATAAACTTACCTGGAATATGTGTCGGTACAATAGCGAGAACTTGTGTTTAATACGGGTTCGTTCTGAGCTCAAGTATTCGTACTCATTGTATAGCTCATTTTTGCGATTCTGAATGGCTTTTACTTCATCCGCTAAGTGAAGGATTTGATCCAGCTTCCGTTTGCGACAATTTTGAGCAGCAACCTGTTACAAGAAAATTAAATGAGCAAAACTGTTATACAGGAAATGACAACACCCAGAGTGAGTAAATACATGTAGCCTCAACATTAAAGATGGAAATGTGATTCTCATTTAAATCTCCCAGGAAATTATACATGATAAGCAAATTATAGACTTGGATTCACAATATACTAGAGGTGTATAGTACTGTTTTGATATATAAGTTTCCCTAGCCAATTTCTAACATACATACCAAAAATATCTACAACTATTAATAAAGGGTTAAAAATCCAGTACTACCTGTGAGAGTAGTGGTCAAAGAACTAATAGTGGCATCTTTTTAGGAAAAAAGATCTCATATAATTTTTGAATAGGTACCACTAGAGACAGCTCTAATGGCTCTAAAGCTATTTTCCCTTGTGGTTACAAAGTAAACACACTCGTGCCAGAAAAACAAAATTCCTTAAAATGCAAATAATTTACTGGGATTGCAGGACACAGAAAGCGTTACCTTGTTCTTGCCACGACGTCGGATGTCTCGGATAAGAGAAAGCTGGGCCTCAGTTAGGTCGTATTTGGAGATCCGCTCATTGAACTCATCCATGGGAAGATTGATGATGTCATCACAGGAGATTGGCAGGTTCATCGCTCTGGCTCGCTTCTCATCTCTTGTGAGTGCCCGGTCATGCTCATTCTTCCGATCTGTTGTATCATTCAAAATTTTAGGAAATGGACAGGAAAAACAAATGAAACAGGGGGGAAGAGAAAAATCAATTTGCTAATCAATCAATCAAAATGCCAAGACTATACTAAAAATCTGAATTCACAAATATGATTATAAGCCTCACTTTTTTGCTTATCTCTTGAAGTTGGACGTGACAGACCCGATGGCCCCTCAGGAGACATGTGGTATGTGTGGTTGTGCTGAACATGTTCTACTCCTGAACCTGACACCTCTGTCAACAGAAAATGGAAGCAATCAGACAATATATTCCAAATGTTCAAATACTTTTTTACAGCTCTAAACTATGATCCTAAATATACATATTATTGATACAATCATAATGGAAAAAACGAGAGTAAAATTCACACTTTCATTTCCATACAGAGCAACTACCAGAGAGAGATAAGAGATAGAGATAGAAATAGAGGGAGAGAGAGACAGAGAGAATTGGAAATTACAATTCTGGCACATGTTTTGCTTTTATAATTATGTAAGCTCTTGTATGAGAATAGGAGTGGCCTTGAATATTTTACAGTGGGTTGCTTTGCTACTGCTGCACTTCATACTTTAGTTAATAATCTTCTGGAGCTTCCTTAATTTTATATAGAGATAAAATATTGCACTAACTAAATAATAATACTAAATAATAATATTATTACAATAATACTGATTAATAATAATAATAATAATAATAATAATAACAACAACAATGGCAATAACAACATTACAAATACAACTAATTATATCAATAATAATAACAATAAAAATATAAACATAATAGAAAAACAGCAATAGTAAACACAATGATACCAATATTAATATTCCTCCCTCTAGGAAGTTTAAAAGAAAATGGAAAGAAGAGAAGAGCAAAAGGAAGGGTCTCTTTCTCACACAGACCTGGATGAAGGCTGGAAAGACATCCTTTCTAAACCCTACATCCTGCTCTCTCATGTTTATGCCTAGCCTAATTTTATAGTTATTATTAAACTCACTACAATTAAGATGAATACTATTATTATTGTTAATATCAGTTATTGTTCTTATTATCATTAATATTATCATCATTTTTATCATTGTTCTTACTATTCAATCTATTCTGCAGAGTAACTTTTATGTACACTATAACAAAGTTCTCTTAAGCATGTAAACTAAACTATAAATTCTTTATGCACTCTAAGTGTTTACATATGGCATTCCCTCTAGGTGCCAGGGCACTATGTATGTACCACACTGATTGTTATTTTTGGTCATATATTTTCTTTGCACACAGATGGCCCCAGAAGTGTTTAGTTATCAAGGAGTTAATTACTTATCATACATATCTCACCCATTTACCCTTTTCCTTAATTTTTAGAAAAGTTAATTTATTTTGTTTTGGTATTAGTATTCTTAATAACACAAATTAATACTCATAATGTCAACAACATAAATAATAAAAATACTGATATTACCCCTTTGATGACGGGCTAGTATTAAGTATTAAAGTATTAAACCCCCTGGGACGGGCATGTTGGAGGGGGTGGGATCATGTGTAGGCACTACTGATGCACTGCCAGATGCACGAGTACACACACACAGACATACCCACAACACACAAGTGCATGATAAACACATGTAAACATGCATGCACCCACACTCTCACTCTCTCTCATTCTCTCACTCACTCACTCTCTCTCTCTCTCTCCCTGCAATATGACATGTCTTCAAAACATGAGTACATGTTATGGGCCCTTTCATATCTCTTCCCTTTAATATTCCCTGTCATAAGTCTGAGAAAAAAGTCTAAGACATATTTGGCTTCAAGGCCGTTCTTGGTAAAATGTCTTTTGATGTCGCCCACCATGGAAGAGTTAATAGCATTTCTAAAAGCAAATTCTCAAAACCTCAAGGAAAGGGGAATCAGGTGGGACCTCATAGGCCTAGTAACTGACTCCTTCCTGGCTGAGCACAAAACTACAGTGGACATTACATATTCCTGGCAGGTTAATGTTTCATATAGTTAATATAGTCTATATAATCATCCAAATCTAAAAATTAGAAGATATATAATCAAATACTTTAACAATGGATTACAGGTAAATTTTCATTTTCATATAGAGATAGACTGATAAAGTTGAAGCCCTCTTCCTTCTGACACAATTTTTTTAAAATTGAAAAGAAAAAACTTAATACTAAATAAGTGTAGTGAAAAATATGATCAAACGTTACTGTGGCCTGCACACTGGCAAAGGCCACCATGCCTCCACTACCCATGTCCTGGCTGGATAGAGTGGGGTTATTAAAATGCTGATGAAAGGTGTAATTCTATTTAAGTATGTTTTTATTTATTCCACAAACATATATATATATTTTTTCATGATCAGTTTGCAACATCATAGAAAAAACTTTTATAATCTATCAATGCCTTCTACTGTAAATTTCATACTATAAACAATAAATGTTCATTACCTGGAATTAATTTGGCATATTTGGTAAAAAAACTGAAGGATTTGCGCACTTCAGCCTGGCAGACAGCAGGAGGGCTATCCTCGCTTCCGCCCATCCTGCCTGTCTGCTTCTCACATCCTCTCGCAACTAAAACTGTATTTAGTTTGCCCCTACGCTAAAGCTCCCGGGCAAGTGTGGAACTCCGCTTCTTGGCAATATTTATTACTAACTGGCATATATAGCATACAAGTCTCAACAGCAATCTCCTTATTATCAGTTGACTCTGTGTAGATTTCCCACTTTAT